ACTGGCTAATTAAACATGTTTTTTTTTTAATTATTAAAAAAAATTGATAACCTTAGATTTGAATTCAAAAAACGCTGTTCTAAACAAAGTTCAAACGATCTGGATCCGACCCATGAGACACAAAATGGAGGCGGCTGACAAACACCAAAACTGGGTCTTAGGTTATCCTGGATGATAACAATATGATTCTTCAAAACTCGGCTGCTTATTTTTTACTTAAAACCATGTAGGCCTACTTAGTCCTCAGAAACGCTGCTATCAGATTCCTTGACACGGAATACAGCAACAAACCGGTTAATATCTCACTTTACAAACACTGCCACATAGCATTTCAAGCTCAAATCACCTTCTTCTTACTAAAACTTATGGAATTAAATAAAATTTGCTGGTTTTTAAAACTCTCCCAGAACGGTGTTTCCTCGTTCAGACCCTAAGCTACTCTTATTGACTGCTACACTAGTGAATTTTCGATGACAAAATTCTTCATGACTTAAACAATGAAATGAGCTACTTTCGCGACCGGTCCATCGAGGAATAATATTATCCTCCAAAAATCGGTATAAACATAAACAGAAAGATTTCTGTTTATTTACTGCTTAAATATCTGATAGGCCAAAGAAAACTGTTTAATCTATGTTTGCAGCAAAATGTAACAATGCTATATAACCATCCTTTTACATAAAAAGGAGATAAAATAGATCTAGAAAATTAGAGACCTATTAGCCTGTTGAACCACATATACAAGCTCTTCACTAGGTTAGTGACATCAAGATTGGAGAAAAAATTAGATTTCTAACAATCGAGAGAGCAGGCAGGATTCCGATCAAATTATGGTACCAATAATCACCTACATACAGTAAAGACGCTCATTGAAAAATCTATAGAATACAAAAACGTCTTGTCCTCACTTTCATAGATTTTTATAAAGTGTTCGACACGATCGAAATAGACAGCCTTATAGAAGCAACGAACGACAGCAGAATTGACCATAGTATAGTAACTTATTTACAATATTTACAAATAACTATGACTGTTAAAATACACTATAAAATCCAACCAATAAAAATAAAACGTGGGTTAAGGTAAGGAGATATTGTCACCAAAATTATTCATAACGACATTAGAGTATGCCTTTAAGATGGTCGATTGGGACCACAGAGGAATAACAATAGGCGGCGAAAAGCTTAACCATCTCTGTTTCGCAGATGGCATTGTCCTTATTACAAATAATTTATTAGAAGCCACAGATATGTTAAATAAATTGAACTTTGCATGTTCGAAGATGGGCCTTAAAATGAACAACCAAAACCAAGTTTATGACAAAGATGATTCCCAATAACCATTTAATAATTTAAGACAAAGTGGTAGAACTGATAAGAATCAGCAAGGATAACCAAACATGCAAATTCCAAAGATGAATTACTTTAGTGTCGGCAGCCTTTGGAAAACTACCAGACACGTATTTGATCAATGCATATTGCCGGTAATGAAGTATGGAGCGAAAACTATGACTCTAACCAACACTATGGCTTCGAAATTGAGAGTGGCACAGAAATGATCGGAACGATCTATGTTGGACAAGGATCTACAGACCGAGAGTTTGGTACAAATTCCACGGCTTTGCGCAATCGTACTTGTAAGTTCGTGAACTAGTCGACTGGAGTTACAATTTGCCAAATTTAAATGTAATGGTTTCTACTCATTCATATTAATATTATAATGTATATTAAAGTTTTTAATATTGGTAATATTATTAAAGCTTTTAATATTATTTTTTAATATTAATAATAATATTAAGTAATTAAATATTGCGTCTTGCTTAAAAAAAGTACGAGATAAATAACTCGTTTTTTTATATGAAAGTGCAATTTTCTTGCAAATGCTTGGTTTTTTTGATAAGATAATACAAATTTTATGAAGAGTAGCTAAGCGTTGGGTAGTCAGTGGCGAATCTACGAGGAGGGAAAAAGGATTTTCTTAATTTGTCAATACTTTGACTGAACATATAACTAAGAGAAGATGGAATGTTGTCAGCCCACTAACAATATTGAAATATAACCAGTAGGAAACGATGTAGAATATGTTGTATGGATTAAATTTAAAAAAAACACAATTTACGAGTGTGCTGATTGTGAAAAAAAGCCTGGACTATGCATAGGATATTGTTTTCGCAAATACCATTCAACCAACAGATAGATTGCATTCAGTATATTAGTTTAAATAAAAATTTTATTTTCCATGGATCTTTTAATTGTTAGCTGATAGAACAATTTCTAATTTGAAAATATAAATATCTTAAAAACGTTAACAAATGTTAAGGATAATAAATTGAAATCCTTTAACAAAAGGCTATAGCTATAATTTGAATAAGCTGGTTTTGCCCATACTGACTTTCTAACTACCTACTAATTTGCATAACAGTCAGATATTGTACCTGGTCACAATGCTGTTTAATATTAGGATTTTCATTTCTCTTGTTGAAACTCCACACATATTCACTCCTACAACATATTCTACATCGTTTCCTGTCACGTACTGGCTATATTTCAATATTGTTAATGGTCTGACAGCATTTCATCCTCTCTTGGTTGTATGTTCGGTCAAAGTATTGACAAATTCAGAAAATACTTTTTCCCTCCTCGTAGATTCGCCACTGACTACCCAACGCTTAGCTATTCTTCATACAATTTGTTTTATCTTATCAAAAAAACCAAGCATTAGCAAGAAAATTGCACTTTCATATAAAAAAACGAGTTATTTATCTAGTACTTTTTTTAAGCAAGGCGCAATATTTAATTACTTAATATTATTATTAATATTAAAAAATAATATTAAAAGCTTTAATAATATTACCAATATTAAAAACTTTAATATATTATACATTATAATATTAATATGAATGAGTAGAAACGATTAAGTACATTTAAATTGTAACTCCAGCCGACTATACGAACTTACAAGAATGATTGCGCGAAGCCGTGGAAGGGACGTTTTGGACTTTGGACTCTAGGTCCAAAAATGTTCAGAACATATCTTACATTTTTTTAAGGGAATTTACACGGAAAAAGCCCCAATTTGGTCTAGAACATACACAGTATATTTACTGGTTTTGGTCATATTTTTTATTTAGTGACAAAGGGTTTTTATAAAAACAACATTTAGTATTCAAATAATATATTATTGATACCTATCGCTGCAACAAAAAAATACCAGACAATTTGCTAATACCCTAGAGAAAAACATCAAACGAAATCTAAACTTTTGTCTTTAAAAATCTTCAAAGCTTTGACGGAGCTTTGGACGGAAATATATAATATTAATTAGAGATCCGGTAAGTGTATATTGAAATTGTATCATTGCTCTTAAAAAAAATTTAGCCGCCTTTAATTCAAGAAATAATCTTATTGAAGTTGGATTCAATAAGTCAAAGTTATAGCTAACTCCAGATAGAGGTGATCAATCATGAAACTTGGTATATATATATATGTCCTTTTCAACATAAATGCAAAGAGTAAAGGGGCAGCACGGCTACTGGCGCAACTCTTATGGAAAAAAACATGGGAAATCGCTAAGGTTCATTCTGGTCATTTTTGTCTCTTTTTTTGGTGGAGGCGCGACGACACATCGGATCGTGACGTGTAAGGTATCGTCGGAACGGGGAGAGGGTAACGAATACGTTAACATAAAAACAAACGCATGAGAAAATGCCAAAAGGACACTAAGCTTGCAACATCCAAACGGCTCAACGTACAACAACGTGTGAGGTATCGATGAAAAGGGGAGGTGGTAACGAATATGTTAATACATAAACAAACGCAAAAGACAATACCAGAAGGACACTAAGCTTGCAACGTCTAATCTACTCAACGTACAACAACGTGTGAGGTATTGTTGGAACGGGGAGGTGGTAACGAATATGTTAAGATAAAAATAAAACACAAAGACATCGGCGCTAAGCTTTTAACGTCCAAACGGCTCAACGTGTGAGGTATCGCAGGAAAGGGTGATGGAATATGTTCAGACAAAAAAAAGCAAACGCAAAGACTGTGCCAAACGACGCTATGTCGTATCACTGTTGTTATTAGTCAGATTACTACGCGTAACAGGTTATTGATTGTAGCATAATAGACATTGAAGGAAAGTGAGGCTAACAGAAAATCATGGCCAAAAAACGGTACTATATCAAATATTGAACATAGTTTAAATGGGATTCCACGTCTATTACAGTTCATCGTCTCGTCACGCCACCTGTCGACTACATCTAGCAGCTGACATCGTAAAAAAGACACACAGCCTATCTCTTTCTCCCTCTCTCTCACACTCTCTCTCTCTCTCTCTCGTGAAACAATGTGAAAGGTAACGCTGAAAACGACAGCTTAGTGTCCTTCTGGTATTGTCTTTTGCGTTTGTTTATGTATTAACATATTCGTTACCACCTCCCCTTTTCATCGATACCTCACACGTTGTTGTACGTTGGGCCGTTTGGATGTTGCAAGCTTAGTGTCCTTTTGGCATTTTCTCATGCGTTTGTTTTTATGTTTACTTATTCGTTACCCTCTCCCCGTTCCGACGATACCTTACACGTCACGATCCGATGTGTCGTCGCGCCTCCACCAAAAAAAGAGACAAAAATGACCAGAATGAACCTTAGCGATTTCCCATGTTAATTTCCATAAGAGTTGCGCCAGTAGCTGTGCTGCCCCTTTACTGCAAAGTGTGTCAAATTTGGCGTACAGAATATTAAAAAATACATAAAACTGCATCAGATCCACAAACCTACAAAGTGATAGGTTCTAGGTCTTCTATTCTACAGGTTAAAACAAGATAGTTCGTCTTTAACCGAGTGAAACTAAATTATAATATTTATTATAATCAAAAATGTTACATGCCAAAATTTTATCGGATCCTTCGATACGCCTATATATTAATTTATTGTATTTATTTGTAACTTAATACTGTATTAAAGACCAAATGCCAACTAAAATTGTTTGCCTTTTCAGAAAAACCACGAAAAGCTTCTAAGGCTCATAGAAGGCGTGTACCGGTATCTTCCACTTGGCACCATAGTTAACAATAAAGTTCTTATAGTTCACGGTGGTATATCAGATATCACCGATCTGGATATGATCAAAGGATTGGACAGGGGTCGGGTAAGTATACATTTTATTTTAGAAGTCGATTAAAACAATAATAGGTTCACTTGAATAGTTGAAATATCGGTAAAGGATATAAAAAAATAGATCAGTATGTTTTGACATATTAAGGCCATGACTGTAACCTTCCAGTATATTTTTTTATACCTTATAAATTCTATATAAGCAGATGACTAATTTTTTTTTGTTTAAACAAAAATGACCCTGCATCAACTACTAAGAGTTATTAGCAGGCGGTACAAACACAAATTACAAGTATTTAATTTCTTACAATGTATATTATATGTATAACTTAAATATGTTATATTAAACACTGTAACATTTAATGTCTTTTAAATATTTCAGCACTTTGTTGAACTGGCAGCTTAGTAGATCCTTCATATTGGTAGAGAGGTTATTTTTTTCTTCTTTCTTGGGTGTATGTTTTGCAGTTCTGAGAGTAACAATGAATAAAGTTAAGGATATCGGTTAATTCGGAAGGTTCATTTGAGTAGTTCTTTGAGATAGTTTCAGGATCTTTAGCATGAAGAGTATTAACTAGAAAGTCGCATATTTCATTAAAATTTAATGTGAATGGGGGGTGATCGATTTTTATTTTTGTCTTTTATCAATTTGAGAGAACAAATAATGTCGTCATTAGAGGTTTTAGTTTGTTTTTTAGGTTTTTTAAATTAATGTGTGATAGAAGGAGCAAGGATTTGTGAGTCTGTTTCGGGTTATTTTGGTCAATGTCAGGTGAGGATGCGATTTGTCTTTTAACTTGAGTGGATACTTGAGTAAGTTGTTTGTTTAATATTAACTGAAGGTTGCAGAGTTACAGTTTCAGCAGGATTATTAATATTATTTAGATTTGATGATATTGTTTCTTTTGGTAAGGGGGATTGACTTACGTTTTCCATAGTTTCAGTTATGCTGGCGCTCTTTCCATGTTTTGTTGTATTTCAGGATCTCTATCGTCTGTTGCAGGTGTTATATTTGGAGAGGTTTCGGAGGGTACGTTTGAGGAGTTAGCAGTTGTTATTATGGGACAATCTGTATCGGTATGTCCAATAGTGTTGCACTTAGAGCGGTTAAGTCCATCAGTAGAGCGAAATAAACAATAAGTTTTATTGTGGAATACATTGAAGGAGTCAGGAATGAAAGTATTCTCCAGGGGCGAAATAAATACTTGCCTTCTGAAGCTTAGGACGTAGCTATATTCGGTTTCTGTCATACCAACTTCTTCAAATCTGCTTCAATGATATTGTTTGGAATTGAAGGACATACATTAGATATTACAAGTCGTTGTGCTGGTGTGATTAATCTTCTTATCTCTATTTCTGACTCATTTATATTAATATGTTTGTAAGAATGAAGAAGCATATCGACTATATTTTTGGTAGAGAGGTAGATACATATTCTGTTGTTTGGAATTCTAGATGCAAACAAGACGTTACGTGGACCAACCAGTGATCCAATTGCTACGATGTAATTGTGGATTTTGATGCACGGTTCCAAAAAACCAGTTGATAAAACCAGTAGGTTGAACTTGATTCGAATTGTATAGGTTATATTTACTATTGTAATATCTTATTTAAAGGTTTTTTGTTACTCACGTCGGGTTAAGTTGAATGGCATCAACACTGCACTATTATTTATTGATAGTATTTAAGAATATCAAATTTTTGTTCCGTATTTTACATTTAAAAATTAAAAAATAACAGAGCGATTTAAAACGTGGTGTAATCATGCCACTGTCCGATTAAATTTTTATTAAGCGGTATATCTAACGTATTCCAAAAGCGATATAAAATATATGTACATCAAATTCATAGAATTTTCATTTACATGCTTTAAAATGAACATTCAAGAGAACTAAGTACAAATTTGATAACATTCTGATTAGTCACTTCCTCGGCAATCTACGACACCATATCAAGAACAATTAAGCCTTTAACACTTTCGAAATTATGAGTTTGAGTAATTGAGATCGCTCTCGCTAAATTGACTGCTTCCTTCGGGCGGAATTTGATTTTCAATTTTGTATCATCATCTCATTCTACTTGCTCAGGTTTAATCAAAAGCTCACGAGATCGGTAATGAGATAGGAAGGGAATGGTAGGGGTTGAGATAGGATAGGATGGGTTGGTTCATTAGGTAGGTAATTACGTAATTATCAATATTATAAGATTAAATTAAGTAAATAGACGATCCAAAGTTAAATCCAATAAATTTTTAGAAAATATATAATACACTTGCGTGCATAGAAATCGGCCCACTGTAAACTTTTGACTTTAACTATATTTTTTTCAATAAATATTCATCAGATTACAAAAACAAATATACTGTTTGAAAGACAATTTAATATGCTTTAATGTGAGTATAAATTCATCAAGAAGGCTTATCGTTTACATGCGTAGTAACCGGTAAACAAATGAAACGTGTTTATGTGGTGATTGTCACGAAAATATCAAATTTGTCTAATTGTAAAAGTATTGCCTTTGCAAGTGAAATTTGCATATTATTCGTTTTTCATAATCTCAGCAGTGATCAAGTGTGTTAGTTTAATGCATACTACACAACAAAAAGCCGCCCAAGTTATTGCTCTAATCGAAAATGGATTTAGTCAGCGAGCTGTTGCTAGACAATATGACACGCGCAGCGGTTCGAAGAGTGTGCCAACGTTATGAGGAGACTTGATGCTTTCATAGGCGACCTAGAACAGGCAGACGGTGATTCACAACCGCTCGTGATGACCGCTTTATTGTGTCAACAACATTAAGAAATCGTCACCTTAATGCCGTTCAGGTGCAACGACAGCTCCGTGAGGTGCGAAGAGTGGCTGTTAGTGGACAGTGAGACAAAGACTGCGGGAAAATAACCTGACCCCTAAAACACCTGCGATTGGTCCAAAACTTACTCCAGCTCATCGGCAAGCACGCCTGCGTTTTGCACAGGATCATCGGAATTAGACGTTGGAACAATGGGGATCTGTTCCGTTTTCAGATGAGACCAAAATATGCCTCTATGGTAGCGACCGAAAAAGGAAAGTGTACCGGAGACCAGGAGAGAGATTTGAAGAATGCTGCTTTGAAGAGCGGAGTGCTTATGGGGGTGGTTCCTGCATGATCTGGGGTGCAATTTCTATAGGAGCATGAACCGATCTTGAGTTCATTCGTAGGGACGACCGTGTTCACGGAAGAAGAGGTTTAACGGCTGCCAGATATTTTGAGGAGATTTTAGCAATTCATGTGGAAAATTATCGAACTTAGTAGTGAAGTTCGTTTCGGTTCGTAAATGCCCCTTTGTCCGCTTTTCGTCGATCGATGATGATAGGGTTAATAAATGTTAAAGTTGTGGAGTAAAAGTGATGATTTATTGACAGCAACTCGTAATTACACAATATGGTGTTCGTTCGATAACTACTCAATATTGACTGTGTTCATTTGAACTCAAATCCCCAATTTATAATCTCACACATAATAGATACATAAGCACCTTAGGTCATTGCTTCGTTCATATCACACCACCTAACTTTTGCTTATAATATAATTTAATCCACGCCTTAATTGCGACACTTAGGAAGTTCAATTAGAAAATATTATTATTCGGCAATTTATTTAGTTGTAGGTAAATGAACTAATTATTAAATTATCATACGATATGGTTTTGCAATATATATAATGCAAACTTATACACGGTGAAACTATAAAAGATTAAGAAGTTAAGAATAATGTGAGATTACAAATTAAGGGGTTAATTTGTGATTGAACACATGTGGTACCTTACGTCGACTACATTGGAGACGAATTTATCTTTATGCATGACAATGCAAGGGCACACACCGCAAGAATCGTGCAAGATTACATTGCAGAAGTCGGTTTTCAGGTTATAGACTGGCCAGCAAACAGTCCTGACCTAAATCCGATCGAACATTTATGGGATGAGCTAAAACGAAGAATTCGATTAGACTTCATACCCCAGACTCGATCCCAGAGCTTATTCTTGCAGCAGAAGAAGAGTGGCTTAACATCCAACAAGCAACAATAGCAAACTTGAAGAGAAGGTCATACTTATTATTAAAAAATGAAGTGCTAAGTTTTAAATTGTCAATAACCCTATTTATGTTAATAATAAAAAAGCTTAATTTGCTTAATGAATTTTTTTCAGTATGTTAAACATAAGAAGCCGAAATAAGTTTTCATAAATTTATACTACCATTAAATCATATTAAATTGTCTTTCAAACAGTATATTTGTTTTTGTAATCTGATGAATATTTCTTGTAAAAAATATAGTTAAAGTCAAAAGTTTACAGTGGGACGATTTCTATGCACGCAAGTTTATTTTGTATAAAAATTTAAAAAAACACAATTCAAACATAATAATTTTTTTATAACGCATTTTTTACTGTTTTACATCTTAGTTGCCTACATTTTTTAGCGTTGTTTCTTTATTGGCGTACCTGTTGTAAATTTATTGGTGTAACATGCTAGTTTTGATTTCGTACTCTTTGTCTGCCCTATCGTACAACGTGCTAAATATTACAGAAAATAAGTCCTTCAGTTTCTAGTCTCTCTCCTTTTGATTTCTTAGTTTTTGATTTGAATGTTTTCATTCATGATATTTTAAGTATTCTTTTTTTATGGCGAACTTTACCACTTATCCACATTAGCCATTTTTTTTTAATTCCCAGAATAATGTTAACAGCTTAAGGTCGAAGTTCAGTCTATTGGCAATTTAAAGCAGCGGCAAGGTATTTATTTAGTGCAAGTTTAGAGTTTGCTGAGAGAGCACGTGATCCTTTCTTACCTATTAGGTACATAATTGTGTTTTATATTAGTAAAAATGGATTCGTGTCTCGACAGTAAAAGTAATTTGAGTTATGAAATGTCTAATAGTGGCTTCAAGAACGATTCAGATAGCAATTTTTCATCAACGGATGAAGAAGAAGTCATTGATGGGGTACAAATGAGCGGCTGGACAGCCGTTACGGATCCGTTTGATAATAAGCTTCCA